TGTGGGCAGCGAATTTCATATAGAAGTAGGACACGGACAGGGAAATTTTGTACAGGAATCAGAGAATGGTGACCTATACCACAGAATGACAGAACCGGGCGGAGCCGGCTGGTTAACTAATATTGGCTTATCAATTTAGCAAAACTTGAGTCGTGAGGTTTAATATAGAAAAAATTAGATAAACTGATTATTTTCAAAATAATCGCCTTGGTGTTTTCATCAACTTTTCAGTTGTGCTGAGAAGCAGAGCTGCTATGGAGGGAAAGCGGGAGGGAAGGGATGGGGTAGCTCGCTTATTGTTAAAACAGTCATAATAAAGAATCCTTGCAATACTGCAATTTTCTGCGAGCTTTAAAAGAAGGAGTGAGCATCGGTCCGGAGGGCCTCAGTGGAAGAAGGGGAAGTAAGGTTCAGGTTGAACGAATTTCTCATAGCTTTTGTCGAATTCTTGTGAACCATGAGGGCAGTTGGGGCGGTATGAAGCGGTGCAAAGATGTTGACAAAGTATTTGGACGGTGATGATTACGGTCGTTTTGTCACCTCTTATCGCTTTCTGAAACCAGAAACGGCACGACACACAGGAGAAGATGAACAAGCGGGCCGAAGTTAACTTGGCTTTGTGGGTAAACAATCAATCACTTTTAATATTGATTTGTATTCGGCAATACGGCAAAGAATTACTCATGGAGTATGGGAACAGAGTCGTAGCCAGTATGATGCATTATCAATAAGAACCAAGCAAAGCTTTGTAGTAAATACTTTCAGGATTTCGAGTTTTTGGAGCTTCACTATTAACAAACACTAGTTTTGCTACTCAACCGTTTCAGGAAATGATTTTAAATTTGCGGTTGCCATTTACAGCCTTGATTTGATAGTCGGAGTTATTACGATGATGCAAACAAAAAATGTCTTGCAAGATTTTTCCGTGACCATCACGTAGTAGACATAAACACAAATGAGATGCTGGATTTGTGTTAAAATTATGCTAAAAAGCAAATATAAGCTAAATCAAATCATAAAATCATAAAATGTAGCCTTTCAGTGCTCTAAATCTGACATTCTTCGATGACAAGAGCGTATATAGGGATAAGGGATAAGATGTATATTTCACTTTAGAAGATGTGTGAATTATAGCCATGTATCTGCAAGCATCGTGAGCAACTGTGTTTGCCAATCTTAGTTTGGCCGTCAAAAATGTATATGTAGAAATGTAGAGCGAATGCTGAAATCCCAATGTTTTCAGATCTTGTAACAAATAATACCTCAACGGTTTTTCATATTCACTGTACAGCGCCTGTAACAGTAGAAACGTGGATAACTTTTACATCAACCGTAACTTTTACATTAACCGAGTGTAGAGCAATTTTATTGGTGTCTTACGCCTATTGTTATTGAAAAGTTTGAAACAAGTGCCATAACGCTTCATTTAAAATTTATCAAGGCATAGACGTGCTGAAAAATCCAGCGGTCACTGTAACGGACTTCATGCAAACTGGTTTGTAAACACCCAGTTCGGAAAGTTGACAAACTGTATCGAGTCACTTAGCGGGTTACTGTTCCTCTGTGTTTTGCTTCGTGCTTGAACAACAGGAACTGTCGAGCGCTTAATATCTGCTTGAGCTGTGGTCATTTCCTTTGGGTTGCGTGAAAGGTAAGTATAAAAGGTTTTAACCGGTTATTTTGTTGCACTCCAGCTGCGATGCGCTACCGTAATCGTAATTGTTCTAGACTAATGTCGTCAGAGTTCTATGTCCGAGTGGCGCTGATCACTTCTAGCGTCTTTGTGTTATACGTGACTTTTGTTTGGGAAATTGCACCTAGGGAGCATCCATCATTGCCTCACAAGGTGTGTTCAAAAAAATAAAAACTCAAGTAGAAATTGTCAATGAGTTTTTTCCGCTTTTGTAATCTTTATAAACTTGTCTGGATAACGGCTTATTTGCTTAACGGCAAAGCCTGACAGCCTGTGATGGAACCTCCATTATTCTTGCATAAGCACACCAAAATGAGTACTCAATGTTGTCATGTAGCTGATAGTATCAGTTAGAACAGTACCAGCTTAAGATAATTTGCTGGTGTGTGAATCGCTTACTCTTTTATTGCTTCCGTCTGCAAATTTCGATTGCTAAGATTGGAGATGAGTAGGTAAATTTTGATTTAACAAACGGCGGAGAGAAACGATTGCGTCGGTGCACTCATTTTCGCATGTGAGTTTGCGCAAAGAAAGATGGGTTTGTCTTTGTAAAAAAATTAGCTTCCCGGAAGAACGTATTATTGCTGACATTTCTCTGTTCTGTATTCTCAAAGTGTTTTGCATGTATGCAAAATCTTTTGAGCCCGGACATACTTCGGTTTCATCGCCTCGCCATCTGGGAATTTTGAGGTGTCTTCAAATCTAACACTGGCAGACTAGAGAAGTATAGCGTGCCTACTTTACGCAGAAAGTAATATGTCTTATTTTACCTTCTGCATGCGTTGACGATGAGTCATAAATGATTGGAGCATTGTCAGTTAGGGTTGCGACTAAGGTTAAGCCCATACTGATCCGGAAATTCTGGAACCGTTCTAGCAGTTCTCGATGTGCAGGAACAGTGCTGGAACTGTGCTGCGTGCGTTACAGCACAGTTCCAGCAAGGTGCCCCCGTGTGGTTTTGAGCGGCAGGAGTTGGAGATTTTTGATTGTTTCAAACGTTTGTTTTAATTGTTTAATTTTCTTTCAGATTTCACTCAGTCTCTTCGGTCTGTCCTTGTGCGCTCGTGCACTCCCTTCGTTATTTTTCTTCACACTTAATTCATGCGTTGTTGAAGACTGTCTTTGCGTTAATACAGTTATGGAGCTATGCAGCGACTTCCTGGAACACATGAAGTGGAGAGCGCACGAACACGCATTCTTTCAAATAAAAGGAGCAGAACAGAGTTCGTTTTTCAACCCGCTTCATGTTCGCTGCTTTCCTCAATACAAGGAGAGGAGGGGGTAGAAGAAAGAACGGATAAGCATTGAAATGAAAAAGAGGAAAGGGTAGAGATTTGCCAAAAATGAAGCTCATTAGGAAACTAGAAAAAAATCCGTTATTCGGACCCATTTTTTCAAAAGGCTCTCATAAAATACGTCTTTTAGCATAAAAACAATTTTGCATAGATTCTACAAACACTGCCTCCCCGCCACGTGTCAGGAAATAAGTGACATGTTTTCGTCCATTTTGACTTGTTTTTTTTTCAAAATCATTTTCAGTGAGGTGAAAGAGCATTTGTGACCATCTAAAAGCCTTTCAAATGTTTTTCATAAGAACAAAACAGTCTAGAACTTATCCCAGATTTTGATTACATTCAGCAGTAATTCAAGATTGTCTTCCTCTCCAAACTTCCCGCCATACGAAATTAGCCAGTAGAGACTATAAATGGTGGCTTGCAGTATTTCGCTGCCGCGTGTTTCGCCGCTTGGATAACGGAATCCTAGCGAACTTCTCTATTCTGGACAGGTCTAAACCGTTCGTTTAAGATACGATGACATTATTATTATAACAGTACTCATTTCTGAAATTTTTCTAGATGAAAATGGGGTCATTATTGATTAAGATACAAATTGAACTTACGTCGCTAGGTAGCGCAAAACAAAGCCTTTGATAAAACCTGTTAAACATGTAGACGATATGTCAAATTTTTTTGGCACGTGGCAGAACGTTGGCACTTTTTCCTATGAATTTGGGACCAAATATGGTATAAGGTCAGAAGAAATATCCTTCTTTGAAGAAATGGGAACGGATAACGGAAAAGTACCGAAAAAGTTCGGATTTTGCGCATTTTCAAAAGCGTTTATTATCTACAACTCAAGACGATGGTTGTGGAAAATACGCAGCTGCTTTCTGAAGCACGTAAGGTAGGACTGAGGAAAAATAACGAAGAAAGAATGGACGAACGCACGAAGACACATTTTTCCGGATACATCGAAGCAGAACGGCGCTCGTTTTCCAACTTCGCTTCAAGGAGACTTTCTCCATCAATAGGGGAAGCGGAGTAGAGGTGTGGACCGATTTGGATGAAATCTGAGAAAAAACGTTGAAAACGGTTAAAGATTTTCAACTCCCTTCGCTCAAAACCGCACGCGAGCGGCTACAGCGCCTCCTGCACCCCGGCACAGTTCAAGAAGCTGTGCTGAAAGTGTTTTGGAACTTCCGATCAAACCCTGCTTAAAACGCATGAAATAAATCCGAGGGCCCTTCCTGTGTATTGCTTACCGTTTCAAAATAATTTGTTGTCAAAAAGGAAGAACAGTTGTTTGATGTGGGCGTACAAGAAGCGATTCATATGGGCACATATCTCCAAACGCTGATCTCGGATCTACCTTCACTATCTGCAAAAAAGTATAATGGTGACTAGCATGAGCACACCCTAGTTGTTTCCGGCAGCGTTTTCCATATTTTCAAAAATTAAGTTTTCAATCAAACAAACCGTATATAATGAAACGAGCATTGTTGCGTAGACTTGTTTTTAAATGGATTAATTAGTTGTGTAAAAGTTTATTATATTCTGCCAGCATGCTTTGTCTCCAAAATGTTTAAGAAAGCAAAAATACTGCTGGCAATAAAAATCAATTCAAGGCGTTGTTTGTGAGGCCGGGCAAACTACTTACGATTATGTTAAAGAACAATTACATGATTTTTGCGCTTTCGACGTGATAAAGGACGGTCGATAACGGAAAGAAAAAAGTTTGTACTATGAAAAAATGCATTGCGGATGACAGAGATGGAATTGTGAGCGGAAATTTATTCAATGTAGGTGTGAATATTTTCGCTGTTGAAATCTAACGATGATCTAATCGCAGCCTACGATGGCAGTGAAACTTCAATTCAGCATAGAATAAGAGGTGACCGCATCGTTATGAATGCGGCGAGGCGATAGATTGCTGTGAGCGATAGATCATACAACAAGTTGAAACGAAAAACTTAAGACTAAGTTATGATTTCTTGCAGCTTTTTTGGTAAGCAACACTAATTCAGAACATGCCTGAATTCCATCACAAGGTTGAAACAAAGCACGTATTATGCGATAAGGTACTCAGTGGAGACAAGGTCTGCCTACAAAGCATTGCGCTAGAATGTTAAATAATTATAAAGCATCGTTTAAGGCTTATATCAAGAAACTCACGCAAAATCGCTCAGTACTAAGGAATAGTACGCTAGATATGTCATGCAAACAAATAAAAGCACGTGTGCTACCGCCGAAGGTTTTGAAGAAAATGGAGTTCGGTGTGGCTTATGCTCGTGTCGTGCATGAGGTACGAGAAGTTTCTTGTCACTGTTTTAAGGACAAAACATTCAAGGTTAAACTGACTTATATACACATTCAAGTACGAAGTTTGGAGTTTAATCAAAGCTTATTGAAATTGATGTATAAATTGATGTATGCTCAGGCATCGTTCAGATGGCGGGTTGTCCGATCCCGCCGAAATCCGCCGCAGGAACCTACCAAACGAGGAAAGAGTTCCTGGAAATTGACATCTTAAAGCGTGCTTGAATTACCACGAGCATTAGGAAATGTACAAATTAGCCACAGGTATCTTAACTAGATAACATATCTTCTTCGCTTCCCTCATGTGGCAAGTTCCGGCGAGTTCGAGCGGGTTCGGACGGGTAAGGCGGGTTTGTACGGTAGGGGCTGGTATACCGCCACGGTCTAAACGATTCTTTATGTTCCAAGATATTCCGTTGCGCCCCCTCTGAACAATATCCCGGAGTTGTCTTTCATACGAGTTACCATGCAGTTTCTTCAGTTTCAGATGTAGCTGCCACAATGGTAACCTTGTGCCACATTTAAAAGTCATACTATAGATTTATCATGGTCCTCAATTTTTGCGGTTTCATACCCAGACGATGTCCTATTTCAATAAAAAAAACCTTGCAATTTGCAATGATACTGCTTGAAGCCGCTTGGCAGCATTGCTTTCTGCTATAAAGAATATGATTTCGATTGCTTGAACTCTTACTTTGGTGTTTTCCAAGAGCATTTTGTACTCAGAAGAGGTAGAGTTAGAATGCTAGAAAAAAATCAAATTACAGGTTGAATCAATCAAATTACATCTTCTTCATTTTAGAGTTACACTTTTATCGAAGATGAAGTCAGATCTAGCTACCACCAACAAAATGTCTTCTGTTTCTCAGTCGACGCGAAATCCAGTGCGGACTTTTACTCCCGCATCAAAGCGCTTTCAAGATGTTTGCTCAATGTGCTGCTGTCTCCAGGTACTTTTTACCATTACTGGTAAAAATTTCGTAAGTTATGAAAAAACGAGCATATGCACATGTCCACCTTTTGCAAACATTATTTGAAATAAATAAAGGAATAATAGCAATAATCTACGCAGAAGGATAGTCCTATGAAGGCTATTAGTTGTAGCTTTTGTTAGCCTTCTCAGTCTTTCTACAACTGATAGCTTGACGAAAGCGAAGATTTGCAAAGTGCTACTTTATGCAATGCCTTGTCAGCAAAAAATCGCCACTAGTTGTCTTCTTGCTTGTGTTGAGCCTGTTTAGTGCAAAAACTCGGACCCGATAGTGGCAGCAAAATTTTTGGAAATTACTGTCTTCCTGGGTTTATAGCTGTAAAGTTTTCCTTTTCGATCATTATTGCTGCGAATTTTATTTCTTGTCCGAGTTGATCAAACTTGAAGCTGTGTAATCATCTACCGCTTTATAGTACATTTTCGAGCTTTCGGTACGTAAAATGTGCCATGTATAAATCCATGCAAGTCATCCGCGTACTCTCTAACATAGTTTCATCTTGACTTATCTTTTCCTCATTACGGCTATAGGCATCCAATGCCAATGTCCACTATTGCCTATAGTGAACAAGTCTTCTTGTCATCATTTGTGCTAAAATTGGCACAAATCACGTGCTTACCACAGGTTCTAGCTTGGAAAATTTTTAAGACGGGTGCAGGTGAAGAAAAATTCACGCAATATCTCTTTGCTCCTTCCGAAAATTATTTTCAGCTTGACGTTTTCCATCCTCAGTCCTGATTGTACTCTCCTCAACAACAATCATTCAGTGCGTTATAATATAAGTAGACATGGATACAATATGAACTTCGCCCATTATGACTGCCTTAAACTCCTCAACAGATATACAGGCTGGCAGTACGTTTTGTTGCTCTAGGTATGATTTTTGTTATTAGCCTCACATAGTGGACATGATTCCGAGCCAGTTTTTCCATGAAAGTATAACCATTTTTTTTACATGCTTATCAATTTCAGAATTACGATATGGTAATAAAGACTGTGTACGAAACAGCTTCGATATTGAAAGAGCTCGGCGGAGCTAATGACATTTGCGTAAGGCCATGTGAAAGTGATAGATGGAATCAGTCATTCAGCTGGGATGCACGATCGTTAAAGCTCTTTCGCAACGGTCAGTGTTCAAGTAGTAGTACAAGTGGTCATAGACCTTTTTAGAAACTCAAGCGTCACCGAAACAGTTAGCAGCTGAATTACCAGAAATTCGAGGAATAGTGCAGTCCTCGCTAAGTCGAGCTGCTGTAGACTGGGCTGTAAGAAATGTTGACCTAACAACGCTTATATATCAACTCAACAGCGACGTAAGTATAGAACACATATGACTAACAGCCAGAGACCTTACTTCAGTCAAAATTTATCAGCCTAAGACCAGTTTGATAAAATTGAAATTACTCAACCCTAAATCAAACTCACCAAAGTCATCAAATCATTATCACTTCTTCAAAAAGACTTTGATTGGTTTAGCAAAAGATGTGCGCACGGCAATAAATACTGCTTTTTCGACACTACTTTCTTGAGTTTATTTCCAAGAAAAAATCAGAGAAATTGTTCTTAAAGCATCCGTAAAAAATCTTTCCATTCATAATAGTGCCAATTAGAAATCACTTTTTGCAATCGATTTCAGGAAGCACCACGGATTTGCCAACATTTCAAAATAGTTCCAAAACTTCTAATAAACTGCCCTTCCACCTCCATTCGTAATTAGTATGCTTCCTTGGAACTGCATCAGACTCCCATACCCCGGCTCGGAATTAGCAAAAAAATTGGTAAGGCAACTAATCCCGATGATCATCAATACACTTGTGAACAGCACTTTGACTAATCCCCTGTGCCAACTCTCAGTGGGCCAAATTTAACTGTGCTTGATAGAGAAAAACGTGATATGGATCGATAAAGCAGGTTAGCCTACGAAATCTACCACATGTAGTGCATGTTACAAAATTGAGTCCAACTTGATGCAAAAATGCATTTTCTACCTAGTACAAAAATGCAAAAATAGACGCAGAAGGCAGGTTATGGACACTGAGTTTTGCAAAGACTTGCTGACATACCCAGCTCCGGCACCCTCTTTCCTGTAGTTGTCCCACATCAACATGCCAATTCCGTGCCCCTTTTTTCCATGACAGCATGCTCATTTAGTTCCCGTGCCAGCTCCAACCCCCTAGCTCGAAGTTTACTAGGATCTACAAAATCGGTGGAGGTGATAGATTTCATATTGAGTGTGACCAGCATGGTCACTTATTCTCTTTGCGAAATCACATCTTCGTAATTCAAAACTCAAAAATTTGATAAAATAGGTGTCGATCGATAACGAAAAGTGACCTATGACACTTACTCGCCTAAAGTGTATATGTGCAGTCCGAACCGGTTCAACGGGATTCTATTCAGAATATACAAAAATAGATGAATATATGCATACTCTTGAATCAACGGAAATGGCGGCTGGAAGGGAGACTTCGAGGCCTAATCAAGGTAGGGAATGATCTGAGAGCACGCTCGCCAGAGAGGCGCAGACCGCTTAGCGGGCGCGAGCGGGCGCCTTCCAGCCGCCAATCTCGTTGAACTGCAGACAAGTATCCATCTTTATATCAAGAGCACTTTACTGATGACCAGCCTATTTTTTTAAAATAAGCGTCATTGTTTTCAGCGCTCTCGACTAATGCCCTGACACTGTTTTCTTTCTTTTTGCAAGTAAACCAATTTTTGAAGGAATTCTTAGGACCGAAAGCTCAATTTCAGGACTGAATCCTTGTTATTTTCGGAAAAAGTTGCCAAAGGGAAGTAGATCTGATGACTAATAGGGATCCTGTCTTATTCCCACCAAATTTGCGGCCTGCACGGGCGACACAGCTTCGGGACCTTCCTCGCTCATTTCGGAGGCATTGTGGCTTGTTCATTGCTATATCGTCTTGTAGCTCTTAGCGCAATTTTTGTCAGCCCTTTCAGTTCCAATGCAAAAAAAAGAATTTTATAACTAAACGTAAAAACAATGTATGTGGGAAAGTTCTTGCATCAAATACAAAGTTTTTGAATTGCGGACAATTATATAACTTCAAGTGTTTTTGTACAGATCGTTACCTGACACTTCTATTAATGAAATTCTCTCAGGTCCGTGGGATAGACGAGACGCTTTGGGCTACCCTGCAAATGAGCGATGATCTGGAAATGCCTGGAAGATTTACTGGAAAGTGCATTAGCGGTCAAACATATGTGCCTTGTATTTCGAGGTCTGAACTCTATTCAACGCATAAAACGTATACCTTCCAGGACAGTGATGCTTGAAGGTTACACCAGATCTGTAATTTTGCAAAAGTGATTCAAAAGCATGAGGCTTATAACGACATACCAACAAAACTTAGCGAACCTATCATCATATAGTGTCGATGAAAAGTTTGCCATGTCTACTCTGACTGACTAGCAGAATATAACACATAAAGTGATGCTTGACAAATATTTCTCATTTGACTCAGCTTATATTTCTCTCTGAAGCAGTTACGTTTTCAAAAAACTTGGTGATCGCTATATGTTTTGAGCCTATCGCTCTTACCTTGTCTAACCTCAGCTTTTTGGAATATTTGTGCTAAACTTTGAAAGAGAATCAGTAATCAAACGGATAGAGCAAAGCTTATTCAGTTAAGTACTTTTTCCTCTCTTTATCTGCTTTTTTAAGCTATTCTAAATGATACCAAAGTAACGAGCTTTGGAGACGTACAATACGACGTGTCAAATGTACAAAAAGTATCAGATTATAAGGTGGTCTAACTATGAATCTTATATATAAAGCTGAATGTCTGTTTGTCTGTATGTATGTATGTATGTCTGTATGTACGTATGTTCCGAATAGAAAATTTTATTTCTCAACCGATCCGGACCAAACTTGGCACACATACCCTTCGGGGCCGGGCGGGTGTCGTAGGCTACTTTTCGTCATCGATCGATATCGATTTTATCGATTTTATCGATTTTTTTTGCAGAGTTTGAGCTACGGGGCTGGGAGTTGGCACAGGGGGGGGGGTAATCGAGCATGCTGATCATCCCCAAGGGGGTGATCAGCATGCTCGATTACACCCCTGTGCAAACTCCCAGCACCGCAGGTCAAACTTTACAAAAAAATCGATAAAATCGATAAAAGTAATGGACGATCTTGAAAACTAATATTGTATTCGTAATCTGCATGCTCAATTACCCCCTGTGCAAACTCCCAGCCCCGCAGGTCAAACTTTACAAAAAAATCAAAAATCGATAAAAGTAATGGACGATCCTGAAAACTAATATTGTATTCCGAAATCCCCATGCTCACTTCCCCCCCCCCCTGTGCCAACTCCTAGCCCTGTAGGTGAACTCTGCAAAAAAATCGATAAAAATCGGTAAAATCGACATCGGTCGATAACGAAAAGTGGACTGTGACACCCGCCGGGGCCCGAAGTGTATGTGTGCCAAGTTTGGTCCGGATACGGCGGAGCCGGGTAAGCCAGCTAGTTTCTAAGATTGTCCAACAGATGTGCTCAAATTTTGTTTAGCACTTGTAGAACATTTTTATTTGCAAAATTTGCACAATCACAAAGAAAAAATAACTGTCAGAAAAAGTTGAACTGCACAGAGTTGGCGAAATGTTTGTGAATTGATGCTATGTTATTCTCATGGTTTGCAATCGAATAGTGACTTTGGTCACATGATGATTCTAGAAAGCCAGTAAAGAAGACATCAAAGATATTTGAATCAAAATGGCTGCTTCCATCGATTTGCTGAAATTTCAATGAAACATGAGTTCACAACTAAATTCCAATCAAACACTGGTATTGTTATGACAATGAAATGTGAAAATTCTCTGCGAAATCGGCGAATTCGCCAGCTTCGCCAAAGTCGCCGACTTTGCTTATTATCAGCATAACTTCTTTTACTTCAATTAAATTTCAAAACGAAAAGAAGATTCGGGCTCAGCTTGCCACGAATCTTTTGGTATATCTAAGGGGCGTACGCGACTTATGCAGCGTACGCTTACGTGCATAAAGAGATGACGCGTACACTGCGTACGCCGCGCAGTCCGGCTCAACCCGAACTCGTGTACCATTTGATTCAACTGGCTTGGCTTCGGCAAAGGCGGGGCTTCGTCACCTAATTAAGGCTAGGTAGTAATCAGAGAGCACTCGCGCGAGAGAGACGCAAGTGCGACGCGGGCGAGGGCGGCCTCAATTAGATCACAAAACCCCGCCCTAACGGGGCCAAGCCAGTTGAATCAAAAGTTAATCTGCTCGGTCGTGGTAGGTGATGTTAAGAATTGATTGCATCCTGTGCTGCTGTTTTATTTTATTGTAGGTAGTGACTTACGATATAGAGCAGTCGATAGAAGAGTTCCTACCAAGTACTTCAAAAAAATCATATGGGTTTTCTATTTGGTAAAAAAGAAAAGGGCCGCTGAGTTTTGGAATCACACGAAGCCAAAATCCCTCATCGTCAAATTACTGTAACACTTCAGTAAAACCATGGTAAGCAAACTGAATGGTTTTTGTGATTAGTGTGTTTTGATGTAAGCAAAGTTTTGCGCTAATCTAAGGGCTTTTGATATCGAGCGATAATAATAATAAGCACGCATTTCGAAAGAACGTAATTCAGTGCGCAATGCTATGTGAATTTTGAAAAGAAAAGTCGATGGGTCACTTTTTATTGAATTTTGTCAATAAAAAATCTTTCGAGGTTCTCGCAGAGGTAAGGCGCGAGTAACTAGTAAACTTTGGAAAAAATACGCCTAAAACCTGCCTAGCTTATCCCTAGGGTAGGACGCTAGTGTATAAAGCTTACGATGCTCTTGATAAGCAGGACTAACTTACGCAGCTTTGTGGAACTCGAATCTATGTGACTTTTTTGTCCTCTCATGAGTATATTATTCGCATTCAACCTCCTCGCCGGAGCGTTGTAGCAAATTGAAATTCACGAATGCTCAAGCAAACCAAAGCAACAGTGTGTAATTAGTGGGTTACCAGCAACAGTGGATAAACAACAACAGTGGGTAATTACCAGGGTCAAGCAAGGGGTGTGGCACACGATCGCTGGTTACGACCCCCCTCCCTGATTGCTGTCTTAATAAGACCCCCCCCCCCCTAAACTATACACTTAAGATAGCATTACTTGAAGGCCCTGTCAAACATAATGGGCAACATATCCATAATTAGCATGTCGAATAACCCCTGTAGATAAAGTGTGAGCGGTTCTGAAGATTGAACATACTAGACTACCTAAGTGAAATGGTGATTTTTCAACATGTTTAACATTGTTTCAAAGGTGAACTAGCTATCCGTTTTTGCACTCAAGACAAAGCACTACTCCTTCTTTGTCCATTTCAGGAATCCTGCTTCAAAAGACCTCCAAACTGTGGAATTAGAAGCCAACCAAAATCTCGTTTTTCCCATTTTTCGCTTTTAATGGCCGTGCTTTCACCAACTATTACTCAGAGCAAAGAAAACGAATTAGGCTAAAATTACTCCTTTGAAAACTAGGAGATCTAGGCTATCGATTCATATAAATACTGTCCGCTAAAATTGTTTTTTTGATATAGTTAATGGCCTGCGGCACCCCCCCCCCCCCCCTCAAAGTTTTGAGGGGGGAGGGGGTGTTGCAGGCCATTAACTATATCAAAAAAACACTTTTAGCGGACGCTATTTATATGAATCGATAGCCTAAACCTTGTAGATTCCATAGGACTGTTTGGAGCCTGATTTGTCTTCTTAGCTGTAAGTAATATTTGGTGAAAGCACAGCGATCAAAAGCGAAAAATGGGAAAAACGAGATTTTGGTTGGCTTCTAATTCCACAGTTTGCAGGTCTTCTGAAGCGGGATTTCTGAGGTGGACAAAGAAGGAGTAGTGCTTTGTCTTCAGTGCAAAAACGGATAGCTAATTCACCTTTGAAGCAAAGTTAACCATGTTGGAATTTGACCATTTCATTTAGGTAGCCTAGTATCTTGAATCTTCAGAATTCGCTCACACTTTGTCTACAGGGGTTATTTAACATGCTAATTATGGATAGGATACGAATATCATGTTGTCACTATTATCAGATTACCCAACTACGACCCCCTCCCCTTTTGACTCCTCAATACGACCCCCCAGGTGTGGCGTGCCGCACCCCACACGCTTGACCCTGGTAATTACCCACTGTTTGCGAGTGCAGTTCCGCTTTATATGGTCCCACAACGAATTACAGTAAGGAGGATGTAACCTGTGCATAACTTCCCTCAGATTGCGTAGATTCTTAATCGGAAGGAGCACTATGTTCAACTCATCAATGCAAATCTTGTGACATATCGCATTACCATGATTTTCTGACAGTAGACTCGATTTTTTTGTGTGGACGTTTGTTCGCAACGGTGTGGCGCTACATACGTCACATTTAGAAAATTTCAGTAAGCACAATTAGATAGAGCTATTTCCACAGATGACCCTGCGCTGATAGACGGAGGTTTCCTTTTTAAAGGGAGAGAAGGGATGGTATCTGGAGAAATCGATGTTCGTTTAATTTTTGCTTACTATAACTCCACAATAGCAAGCTAGCTTGCGAAGCAAATCTAATTTTCATAGTTAGCAAAACAAATTGCCTTTATAAGTGGACTTTCAAAGAAACCCGAGTTTTTCATTTTCTCCAGTTTCACGTTCTTCGAGCTCTCCCTCGGTTTGTGCTAGATTATCGAAAATCTTGGATTAACCTAGCTTTGCCCTAAAATTCTGCTATCAAATAATAATAATTTTTCAGACGGCTTTTTACGAAAGGCGTAGTCCATAATTAGTTGTCCCATAGAATTACGATGTAGGGGCTGGAGCTGCGCGAGATCGGGAAATCGACTGTATTTTTTCCCTTTATCACATATTTGGTTCTTACATAAGTCTTGATACACTTAACTTCTACCGGTGACAAGTCATACACCTCATAGTCTTTACAGGGCTCCAAGGTATCATTCGATAGAGCAAAGCAAGCTCTACAACAAGCTCTGCAGAAGTTCGCACCAGCTCCGACCCACCGTAAAGTTGCATCCAAAAGCTGAGTAGTACTGAAAACTCACAAATCGCGAAAAATTCACATCCTTGTTCAGAAAAATCCTACGAATCTCCAACTTGCCCACAAAAATTGCCCACTATATCAAACACTCATACGTACCGTTGCTGTAATGCATGAATAAAAACAGCATAGCTTCGTTCTTGTAAAAACTAAAAATTTTCCTTTTCTCGATTTCTAGATGAGGGAAAAATACAGCAATGGTACATATGAGTGTTTGATATAGTGGACAATTTT